GTATGCAAAGAATATTCCATGGTGAAATATTCTAGAATGTTTTCTGGACTTTGTTGATCCATTCTTTTGAAAGTAAATCTTTCAGAGTGTTTCTAAACATCACTAAATACTACTTTATTGGAAATTTTACTTCTATAATAACTGCCTGACCATCCTTGAAAATGACTGAATCAATATGAGCTATAGGAAGAACAGGTGCTTCCAGATTTCCCAGTAAATTGCCAATACTGTTAATGCAGTATTTTGTCATTTTTATGTAAGAGGCATAAAGAATCTAATAGTGGGTGCCTAAATTACTTTTTGGGGTGGCGGGACAATTTCAGAAAATATGTATCAGTAGAAAAAACCTCCATGATGAAGTACATGCAATAACAGCACTTATAATGATCATAGTGATTTAAAAGGTCTATAACTATTAGCTTAGTAACCAATAGTACATAACAGGACAAAAAGAATGGAACCAGGGTTTATAGCTTGTATGTAGATTTTCTGCAACTTAACAAAACTGTTTGAAAAAGAACATAATAAATATTTATATTTCATTTCACTAATATGTGCAGCTTAACTTTGATGGTACATTATTAATGGTACAAGAAAAAACTTTTTACAGTGATCTTGATGAAGTATGCAATATATATGAAATATAATAAGTCATGCAGTTCAGAAACTTTTTTCCTCTAGAAGTCGTTTCAAAATGTTTCTCAAACTTTAATTCAGAAGGACAGCTTATATTGAAGAGAAAGGAATAAAGCATGGTAATATAATTCTAAGCGTGTTTGTTAGAGAGCAAGCCCCACTACATTCAGGAAGAGCTACTTCTAAATATTCATAGATTTTCTTTTTAGCATATATGGATTTGTGATTACAATTTCTTTAGCTGGTTTAGACAGCTTGTGTGTTGGACTATAACAGTGATGGCGAACCTTTTAGAGACCGAGTGCCCAAACTGCAACCCAAAACCCACTTATGCATCTTCGGGTGCCGGGTGGGTGTGGCCCATTGGGTGGGCGTGGCTGTGGTGGTAACGGCAGACTGGGTGGGACTAAAAAGTTCGATCAATCAATTCCAAGTTTGCAAGATCTTTTTTTTCCCGCGAGAAGCTGAAATTGATTGATTGAACCTTTTTTTTTTTGTACACGGTGGCAGAGGCTTAAAGCGAAAAGGTTTTATCAAACCCAGCTAAAGGCCTAGGACTGGGGCGACGCCGCATGTGCCCACAGAGAGGGCTCTGAGTGCTGCCTCTGGCACCCGTGCCATAGGTTCGTCACAACTGGACTATAATATCAATGTATCTATTTTACATTTTTGAAGTGCCCATCTGCCTCAAAGAATTCTACTTCAAACTTTTATGTTACGTAAGGATATACTGGCCTCTTAAACGTTGGCAGCTAAAGAAAAGGTTCCTTTTAAGAGGAGTGGGTTTATTCCAGAGTTTGATATACTAAGTTGGTCGCAGCAAAACATCCTGTCATAGTTTACAAAATATTGGGGTATGAGTTTCTGTGAAAAAGTGGCTGCTTTCTAAGATGCATGAAGTTAAAAGTATATATGTGGAAATCATAAGAATGAGAAAAGAACTCTTAAATGGATAACATTATTATAGCTGGAAGCTGATTTGTGTTTCTTCTTCTTCTTTATATATATATAAATAAATAAATATAAAATACCATCTTTCTAAAAGCCTTTTTTATGGCTTTGCTTTTTTTAGGTTCATCTGCTATGACATGTGTTGGGTTAAAAGATAGGTGTTGCTTTGCTTCTTTGTGGGCTAAGCAAATGGACTGTAGTGAGAGATGATGGAGTGGTAGTGTTTTGATATTTTCACTGATAATGAGGGATTCTCTTATAAAATTCTTGGATGCATTTAGTGATAGTGTCATATAGTATGTACTTTGGGGGAAAATACACCTGAGGATTGAGTAGAATTTGACCTTCATGTAAGAAGACCTAGATGTAAAATAAAAATCAAAGATGTACCCTATGTCTTCTCATGGTGTTGGAATACCTATTGTAGTGTTAGAGAATAGTTTATGGTGAATTTTCAGACTGCTTACAAGGATAGAACTTGAGACAGATGGGACTGTGTGTCGCTGGTTTGGCAGGACACCAATTAAGAAAAGGGATAGCTAGCGTTACTAAATGTTAGTCAATTGTGAAAGAAAAAGATTATGGGAAAACGTATTCATGTATATGAATGATATATTAAGTATCTCTGGTTGTGCTTATGTGAATAAGAGAGGGCCATAAAAGAAGAGCCAGGGACACAGAATGTGTTATTCACAGGAATGCAGATCTGCATATTTCATGGCGTGTTTTAAATGCTTGAGCTGCTTTGCTCTAAGCAGTTTCTAAGATTGCAGATTTGAGGATTTTCCTCTTCTAATTGGTACAGCATGTACCCAGCTGTGGATTTTTTCAGTTTAAATCATACTTTGGTTTGAGGTCATAAGCATGGGACATCTGCATCCAGTTTTGGTCACCACGATGTAAAAAAGATGCTGAGACTCTAGAAAGTGTACAGAGAAGAGCAACAAAGATGATTAGGGGACTGGAGGCTAAAGCATATAAGGAACGGTTGCTGGAGTTGGGTATGTCTAGTTTAACAAAGAGAAGGACGAGGGGGGACATGATAGCAGTGTTCCAATATCTCAGGGGCTGCCACAAAGAAGAGGGAGTCAAGCTCTTCTCCAAAGCGCCTGAAGGCAGGACAAGAAGCAACGGATGGAAACTAATCAAGGAGAGAAGCAACCTAGAACTAAGGAGAAACTTCCTGACAGTTAGAACAATTAACCAATGGAACAACCTGCCTCCAGAAGCGGTGAATGCTCCAACACTGGAAGTTTTTAAGAAGAGACTGGACAGCCATTTGTCTGAAATGGTGTAGGGCTTCCTGCCTGAACAGGGGGTTGGACCCGATGACCTTCAAGGTCCCTTCCAACTTTTTATTATTATTATTATTATTATTATTATTATTATTATTATTATTATTATTATTATCATCATCATTATCATTATCATCATCATCATCATCATCATCATGTTCTAGTATGGTGGTATTGATGGTCTGCTACTGTCTTTGATGTTATAGCCTATGAGTTCCTTCTGGATCATTTGCAAGGATTGTCAATGGAGGGCACTTTCACCGTGGCTCTCCTTCCTGAGCAGATTGTTACAGATGATGGCAGTGGGGGTACGAATGGTTGAGTCTGTGGGTTTCTCTTTTGTGGACTGCTATAGGGCTCAACTCTTCTCCTCTACCCTAATATCCACACGAAGCCAAAGAAAAAGTAATCTGATGGGGCGTGTGAGGTTTCATCAATATGCTTATGGTGCTTGGATATATACTGTATCCCCAAATAAGAGATGCATTTAAGCTTTTGTTCCCATGACTATAAGTCTTGGAATGGGGAGAAACAGGTTTAACTTCAATCCCAGCAAGATGTGTAGCTGTCAATATGGAAGCCTATGGATTCCGGTAGGATTTCATCTTTGATCCTGGATAGGTTTTATGCTCATTTCTTTTCATTTGTAAGGTATATAATTGTGAATTTATTTTAATCTTATTGGAATGCCAATAAGCCAATCAAAGTTGTTGCATATAAATCTGAAAAAAAAGTAAATGAACATATCTGGGCTATTTTTTTTTCCTATTGGCCCTTTTTGGCGCTTTTGTGTAACTTAATAAGACAGTAATAGTTACATTTTTCTTTGGTATATTCTTTAATTTTGCAGTGATGCTATCTTATTAATACTGCTTCTATTAATAATATTAGTAATACTAATACTTTAATCTCTGTACCGTGCTGGGGCTAAGGATAAGTTTGCTTAAGCCTAGAATTTCTTAGCTCATACACTTAGAAACAATACATTTCCAGATCTTTATAATGAATGATATATATTCATATTCTATTAAGTCAGGGGTTCCCAACCGAGGGTGCTCACACCCCCTGGGGGTGTGAGACAGTATTCCAGGGGGTGTGAAAACTTGGGTTTTCAAAATTATAGTGTATATCCATAATTTGTTGCCGTTATTTTGAACTTTTGTAAGGGGTGCAAGAATATATCAGAAGTGTTCTAGGGGTGTGGGATATAGAAAAGGTTGGGAACCGCTGTATTAAGTCAACTAAAATTTTGTATTGGTGGAAAGTGTATTTAATTAAATAAAATACACACACTTTGACCCAACAATCTTTTTCATTATGTGTCTGGTGGAAAGGAACATGGATTTGATGCAGATTTATTTAGTACTGACTTATTGAAATCAATGTAAGTAGCTAATCTAATATATCCCTTTGATTTAGTGTATCTGGGCAAATATGACTGAATCTGAAAGTCTGATACTTTCATGGGCAAAAAGTATTATCTTTTTAAAGAAAGTTATTTGGTAAAATAAAATGTGAATTCAAATTATTTTTTTAAAAACATGGTTTCTGAAGTATGATGGCTTTTTTATTATCAAGGATTTAGTAATAAGACATACTGTATAATTACAATATTTCTTATATCACAGGTGAGGGCCACTTTATTTGTTATTTCAATTTATATGGTTTCTAATCTGAGATATATGACTCTGGGTTACTCACACAAATCCAAAATAAATCTGCCTATCGTTTTAAGTGTTCAGTAGAATCTCTTCACAGGGTGCTCTCCTCATATGAAGCGAAGACTGTATGGAACAGAAAACAAGCCTTATCAGTTGTGACCCCAATTGCGACATAACATCCCTTGAAATATTTTTGACCCCTTCCTTTCTTGCTTTTAGAATAATTTTGAAAACCTTTCTTCTTTGAGTCCAAATGGGAAGAGAAAGTGGTAATTTTTTATTGTTATTTTTCTCGTTGTTTTTATGGAGGTCACTCTAGACCGTAAGATTGCTTTGGATATTCTTGAGCACTGCCAAGAGTTGTCGGATTGATGTAGTACAGAACCTATGTTAAATACATGTTCTGAAAATAATCTTATGCTTTCTTCTCCTTCCCTTTGTGTTCTTCAGGGACTCCAACCGTCATGTTAAGATAAAGCAGAAAGGTGCAGTGCTGAACATGCTAAAGAGGCTGGACAAAATAAGGTTCAGAGGACATAAGAGAGATGAATTCCCGGACTTAGCAGAGTCTCCCAATGCTTCAGATACTGAATGTGGAGATGAAATCCCTATGAAAATACCTCGTACATCAGGCTACGATGAACTGAGAGACGCTGTAAGTCTTTAAGATGCTTGCACATTTTATTGCTGTTGCTTATTTTGAAGAAACGAGCCTGAACAATCTGAATGGAAGGAGAACCTGTGGCAGAAGACATACACACATTAAAAACCTTACTAGGCCTATAGCATGGAAAGCAAAGACGGAAGGAAGATTTTTGCCTTGTCACCTTTTATCAGCATTCTTTTTTTGGGAAGAAGAGGCTTATTAAATATTCTTTCCATTATTCCTTTAATTCTCAGGATAGCTGGGTGTAATACGAGTGCTTTGGAATTGATGGATACAAGTTTTCCTGGTCTATTTCAGATGGCTTCCTTTTAGTGCTATGAAGAACAACAGTGATGAATCTTTTCACTGGAACTATGAGATATATTTCAAGGGCTGAATATTTTCCCTTTTGGCCTATAAAAATGGAAACCACCAAAATCTTATGGCTCCTTGTGCACCCACCCTGAGGCCATAAAATTAAATTCTTACATCAATTAAACTAAAATTATATTTCCTAGTTTAGTTTTTCTTGTTGGTCCCTATCTATACATTAAGCTTAGCTATGTTTTGTTTTCCTTAAGAATTCATTAATCCATTGCCCATCCAATATTAGTTGATATTATTGGGAATTATATTTCAGTATATCTGGAGATTTTCTTACAGAGGGGTATAATACACTCAGACTGGGTATGTATTTATCTTTTGATTTAATTTGGGGGTTTTAAAAATTATTATTGATGTACTCACAAATTGTAAGTGAGGTGGTTTTATAAATTTTACAAATAAATGAGTAAACAAACCAAACTTAAAAATTAGGCATGCATACATACGCATGCAGTAATATATTCATTTATATCTAAATATAATTATAAAGAACTTGGAATTTGATGCAAAAGTTGTTAGGTGGAGGATGGCATATTTTAACTTTCTTGCTGCCTGTACACTGATTGGATCTGGAGATCCCCTGAAAGGCAAAAATGCAAATGTAAAGAGAATGACAATGGTTCTTCTCATCTTTCTGAGATATGAATCTATATTGAGAGTCTGTATGGGATCTTGAGAGAAGAGCTTCTTTGTCAGAGAGATTAGAGCCAAACTTGATTTTTTTCTAAATTCAAGTTTGAAGAAGAATATATATAAATAACAATTTAGTAAAAACTTTCAATATCTTTTATTTTATTTGAACTAACATGGACTTTAAACCTGGAACAGCCAAAGGCAACTAAATTGTACTAATACGATAAAGGTTATCATTCAAAGCACAGTGAAAGTAATGAGATCTCTCTAGTGGCTGTTCTAAAGTGTTGTGGACTTGCTTGCTCCAAACTCCTCAGTTAAAAATAACTTGCTCTGTGCCATGTCATGAAAAGAAAGTGGATAGATGAGCTCTTACATTGACTCCATGATGTGACCTTGAAATGTGAATTGGAAGATTCATCAAAGCAAAGCATTCCCAAGGCTAGTATTGTTAAGTTTGTTTTCCCTGTTGCTGGTTCTCTCACAAACCTAAAAACATTTTACTTCTTTCTGATTATTTTGTATGTGTTTTAGTTCTTAAGTTCATGTTTTGTTTTATTTGTTAGCTCTGAGATTAATTGAAAATCCTGAGTGATTTTTTTCTTTAAATGACTATGTCACAGAGCTCCCTAAATTTCATTGAATAAGCCACAGCTGACTAGGTTCACATTTCACCATATCTCATAAACCAGGGTTGGTTTACCAAACACAGTGGCTGAGTTTATTTAATGATTAAACCAAAACCAGACAACTCACATAATAGACTCAAAGCACTGAATACACACAGTCAATAGTTTATTTATTTATTATATTTGTATCCCACCATTCATCCAGGAGGGGTTTAGGTGCTGTATTACTTTTTCCTGATTTTCTCCTACAATAACAATCCCTTGAAAAAGGTTCAGCTGAATTAGTGACTGGCTCAAGGTCACCAAGTGAGCTTCTAATTGAATGTGAGTCTTCTTTGTATCACTCCAGCATCTTAACCATTGCATCTCAGAAGCTTTTTTTTCATTTCTGGTATAATCAGATCTGTTCTTAACTTTTAACTCTATGTGATTCAGCCTCTGTGTATCTCCAGAACCAGCTCTCTTATTCTCTGCACTTATCTCAAGAACATAAAGGTCCCACCCTATGTGAATTGAGGAGTCTGAAAGCACTCCTTCTTAATAATGGCCTGCACTGGAGCAGTGTCCTGTAGTGACCTCAATCCAGCTAGTCTTTCTTAAGATTGTTAAAACTGCATATTCCATTAAAAATCTAGTGTTGATGGGGGATTCAGGCTAACTGTTATATTTTGGCGATTTGTTGTTTTGGGAAGTTTTGTTTGTGTGGGTATTGTTATTTTAATGGCCCTGAGTCTCTGAGGTAAGTGGTATACAAAGTTTGTATGTGCCCTATAAACAAATATATATAAGTATTTCAAGGAACATTGCTTTTGTTGCCATATCTGCATGCTAGTAAGCTGGCTACGGCTTCTCCTGCAGTTTTTCAAACTCTCCCATTTTTCAACCTGACTGTTGAGGATCATTGCATAATATGGTGGGTGGGATGTGACTGGAGAAAAGGGTTTGTTGCACCAAATATAGAATAGAGGCTTGTTGGGAATAGAAGCTTTCCAACATTTTGCTGAAGTTTAATTTTAATTAATGTTGGTGCTGCTGGATTTAATTGTTCCTCTGTCTCTTAAAACTATGTGTTGCACAATTCCCTCTCCGACAATTTGTAACTGAAGGGTAGAATATTAATTGCTGAAATAATTCTTTTCTGCCTTATAACATATGAAGTGCTAAAAAAAGCATCCCAATCGGAAAAAGATTGAAATTTATAAAACAGTGACAGTTGCAATGTTAACTTCTGCAGCAGTACGTCACTTGGACTTCAGGGATAAAAGGGCATTTGGGAACACGTCAGAGTATTAACTTAGCATTTGCAGGCAGTTTCTTAAAGCAGCTTTTCCTGGGATTGTGCAGTCATCCTCTGCAGTTTAAGCAAAGACACGTTCACGGTATTTTGGACAGGGGCTCCATATGCATCCTGGTGTGCTCGGAAGAATATTTTCTGTCTTTAATCCCACGTGCTATTCAGCCCTATCAACTTCTGATTTGAGCTGTTGTTGGGAAACACTCAGCCAGGAAGGGGAATTAGTTTTGAGTCCTTGCAGAGCCACAAGAGATTCAAAATGGACACTCCCCCTCCCCTTAAGCTTCATAGAGCCTTATCTATCTATTGGCTAAGGCTGTCATTCTGAGGAGATTAATAATAATAATAATAATAATAATAATAATAATAATAATAATAATAATAATAATAATAATAATAGTAAAGTTGGAAGGGACCTTGAAGGTCATCTAGTCCAACCCCCTGCTCAGGCAGGAAATCCTATACCCTTTCGCACAAATGGCTGTCCAGTCTCTTCTTAAAAACTTCCAGTGTTGGAGCATTCACCGCTTCTGGAGGCAGGTTGTTCCACTGGTTAATTGTTCTCACTGTCAGGAAGTTTCTCCTTAGTTCTAGATTGCTTCTCTCCTTGATTAGTTTCCACCTGTTGCTTCTTGTCCTGCCTTCAGGCGCCTTGGAAAATAGCTTGACTCCCTCTTCTTTATGGCAGCCCCTGAGATATTGGAACACTGCTATCAGATTCCTGTATAGTAGGCAGAATATGATAAAGCACTGAGCTTGAACTCTACATGTGAGTGTGGTTTCTTGGGCCTTACAGCTATGTAAGTGTAGAGAATAAAGAGAAAAGTAGAGAATAAAGTGTAGACCCTTAAAGAGAGGGGAGATCCATCACCAAGGCAACAAGCAAACGTATTGCTTAAGCTTAAACAATGAAGATGAAACAATGAAGGTATTTGTAAGCATCTTAGGCATATGTCCGCCTAATTCACATGAGTACAACAAAGGGAAGAAGTAAAACACAGTTAGACTTGGATGATTCTGTTACTATAGCCAATCTTAATAAAAAAAGCCATTTTAGTCTTAATGGCTGACATTTTTTTCAATTATTTATTCATTACACTATTAAAATTTCTGTTCCATTCCAGTTCACACTGGCTTTGAGCAGCGTACAAGAAACCGCATGCAATGCATTAAAAACAAAACACAGCATAAATAATATAGTAATAGTGCCTTCTGTCAGGGCAGGCCCAAACCACCCCCCCTCCATATGTGAAATATTTGTGTTTTTATGGCCATAGGAAATGCAACAGAGGAAGAGTTCCTGGTGTGCAGGGACAAGAGATGCCACTACTAAAACAGTTCCAGAACCTTTAATGTTTCATTTAGAAATTATCTTGAAAGACATTTAAAGGTCAAAGTGAAGTCGTATTTATGATTTATTGGGTGTCCAAGAGATATAATTGGTAAAGCAAGGATGGAGTGGATGGAATAGATTTTCATAGACTCATAGGGCTGGAAGAGACCTTGGAAGTCTTCTAGTTGAACCCCTGCTCAAGGCAATGGATCTTATATGGTCTTGGACAAATAGTTATGCAGACTGTTCTTGAAAACCTCCAGCAAAGGAGCACCCACAACTCCTGGAGGCAAGTTGTTCCATTGATTTTCCTCACTACCAGGAAATTTCTCCTTAGTTCTAGGTCTAATCTCTTTTTAACAAGCTTTCACCCATTACTTCTTGTCCTACCCTCAGGTGCTTTGGAGAATAAGTTGACCCTCTCTTCTCTTTGTTAGGCTAGACCTACTTAGTTCCCTTAACCATTCTTTGTATAGTTTAGCCTACAGACGCCTTTTCATCTTTGTTGCTCTTCTCTGTGACCTCACTAGTGCAGTATAAAACAGTATTATCACTTCTCATGATAATACTTAAAAGGACATTATCCTTTTGTTGATACTGCCTAGGACTGCATTGGCTTTTTTGGCAGCTGCAGCACATTGATTGCTCATAAATCCCATAAATCCCTCTCTCCGAGGGAGTTGAGCCAGTAACTGTTGAGCTAGTTACTGCCTATTGTATACCTATGCATTTGGTT